CTAACCTAAACCAAATCTCCTGACGAATCCCACAAGTCTGTACTGACTGATGTAGGAGAGAAAATCAGCCAACTACGGGCACGCACCCTAGTATGTCCAAATGGTCATTATCTCATTTGTCTGGAAATGGCTGAAACACTCAGTTTGGCCTTTAACAAAAGGTTAAACAGCAATGTGGGTACTACCGGTATGGACAAAACGGTGACACTACTATTTAACCGAAGGAAAACCTGGTGACTACGTCTCAAATAAACCCCGCCAAAGTACTAGGGAAGTTGCAGAGACACATCTAAAAAGTACCCTGGTTGTGACGACATCAACCATCTGTTTTGAAACAGCGCACGAAAGCTCTCTGTAGGCCCCTATGTGACCTTTTCCAACGCTTGATGGATTCAGGGAACCTGCCAAGGGAGTGAAAAAGAGCCATCCTTAAATCATTCCCTATCAACAGGTCAAAAATAGTTAAACTTGAGTCTAAGACTTTTAAACTTAGCCTAAACGCTTCTGGTGTATTTAGGGATGGCGTCATAGGGCCCCTTCTATTAACGCCTTATATCATATGCATATCCACTTGCTTCTCAAATGATAAATCATTCATTTTTTCAGATGACATAAAGTAGATCGTACATTTCAGCGTGATGACCTAGGGTACTTCCTGAATGTTGTGCAGAATGCATTAGACACACTGACCACCTGGTCATTTTTCTGGAATCTACAATTCAATCTGAACAAACTTGGCTGGATCTGCTTCGGCATAAAATTAACGCTTCACTAATTACTCTGCAGAAACGATAAAGAGTCTGGTCACATAGATGTGTAAAAAAAGACTAAGAGAATATCAGAATGTTGGAATGTGTTGTAGGACAGTTTAAGGAGATGGAAGGCGTCGACAATAATAATTATCCTGTATCGAATCCAATATGGTTAAGACTGAGAAATCTGTTAAAAATCATCAAAACCAAGTAATATTTGATGTCTCTAGAGCAGTAGTCTAAAGTAAAAATAATGCGCCTCTTAAATGAGCCAGCATTTACGTAGGAAAGTCAACCTTGTAACTGTCAGCCACTATTATTCAATGTCACGTATGGGAGATAAAGAAATAAGACAGTAAATAAAGATAGACAAATTCTTTTCTGCGCAGTCAAGAATTTGTTTAAATAGTCCTACTACGATTCAGGTGGTGTGACTGATGTGATTGTAACTAGAAAGATATTTCACATTCGAAAATATACTACTTAGAAATGCAAAAAGGGATAAGGTTTTACAGTGTTAGAATGAGCAAAATGCTCAATTACACAATGATAAATTACACAGTGGGTAGATCCATTAGGAGTACAATAATTGCATACATAGTCTGTCTGCTTACTGTGGCATTTGGCAAATAAGTGTTTGAATAATCCAGCGGTTATCGGTCCACTTCCGTTCAACTTATTTCTGCCTCACCTCCATGGTGTTGCCTCATTACTTTGTCCTCTCAAAGGAATCTAGCTGATGCATGTAGTCTGAGGTTGTGGGTTGGAGTAGATGCTAATTTTGATTTTAAAAGTTCATAAGAATTTGTATTTTGGTCAATATCTTCGTAGAGAGACCTTGAATTTGCAAAAACTTGTATTACAGGCTAATAAACGTGCGGTTTTTATTATTGAAACTTAAGACTTGTTAATTGGTGGCAAAAATACCCGCCAGGTTTGACAAATGTGTTACGTCCAGGTGAGTACTTGTGAACAATTTTTATTTTGAATGTTCCTAGTATCTCACTGAAACTTTTCATGCACATTCCTATAATCGGATGCCAAGTCTCTTCGAAAATGTGATTTCAAATCTAGACACTTAATTAATCTTGTGTAGGGAAATTTTATTTCTGGGACTATTGCATCAGTCGTACCGAAACAACGACCGGTGTACAATCCTGTTAATCATTATAAATTGTAAAATTAAATGTGTATATTGCTTCATAGGGTTTTTCTGACCACTATAAATCCTGGGCTGCAAGCCCACCTATAATATAATTCTACTCAGCGTAATCAATCTCGTAACCCTAAACAGGGTATGGCTGAATCAACAGTCTTTGAAGGCGAAAGATACGCAGCATCCGTAGTTGTTTGCATTAGTTTTCTTGTGGTCATTTTTGGTGACTGCTTCTGTATCACTTAAGCAGAACATTATATGCTCCTTCGTCTGAAGAAAAATGCATCTTGAGACTAAGGAACTTTCTCAGTTATCTTTTTATCATCAGGAAAACTCGGATGTATGAATATCTGATTTGAAAATTTGTTGCCTTTCTCTTGGTCATATTGCTTCTCATAAATTTGTTTACTGTTGTCTCGTTAATATGGAGTTATGAATAGGTTGTGGGTTAGAATTCCGCCCTAAGTATGTAGTTAGATATTACCTTCAGCCTTCATGAAAAAGTTTCTATTTATTGCCAAGGGTATATGAATGTCCAGAGTCCTTGACTTATTTTCTCTTTTTTCACAATTGTAAATCTCTCTTCGTTTCGTCACTTAATTGGTGTGCCAATAAGGTTTGACAACTTGTTTCATCAAAGAAATTCTGGAAGCTATTTTGATGTACTCTGCCTTTCATGTCATCGTTTATTTCAATTGCACTGCTATTAATATACAGTGGACAAAGAAATCATGGGGTATCAACTAATGATTCATATTTCGAATTTTTCGATTAAGGACAAAAGGCTTCAAGCATACATAAATCCCTTACAAATAAGTATCTGTGCTCGATTAATCTCATCTTCAACCAGTCACATTAGACCGCAGATACCATTTCTTTCTAAAGCCAGTCCCAAAAATTTATGGCTTAGTGGGGAAATCAGTACTTCACAGCTATGTAGTTGTTCCCTGTCTTTTAAACTGTCGTGCAATGTCCTCTGAGATCTTCTGACCTAGTGGGAAGGAAAACAGGAGATAGCTCAGTTCCACAGTCATTACTAGGAATTTTTAACATTGTTATGAAATCTGTGTGTCTACTGTATGATAGTGAGAAGAGATCCAGACTGCGAAACCTTCTTATGTGATGAATTAGTCACAAAGAGAATCATGCATGTGGCTTTCTTTTAAACCCCTTCTAGAATGTGAGTCCCCCCTCAAGACAAAGACTGGATGCAGTTTTATAGTTTTGACCTTACCAGAGATGTATATAAAGTAGTAAACATTTTACTAGTAATCTTACAAAACAAATAAAAGGAGACATAGAACGGTGCCTTGTGGTGCTCCACTAGGTTCCATTGTCCAGGAGGAGAATCTTGATTTGATCCTATGTCGCTCATCTATGAAAAAAATTCCCAATCAAGTTTAGCAAGCCACCCTTGATCCCAAAACTTTTCAATTTCATGAGCAGTTTTGTGCGAGACACTATCAAAGGCCTTACTTAAATCTATGAAAACTATGTCGATGGTTTTGTCGTTGTTCCTGGACTTGACCCAGCCTTTCCTTGCTATAGGAAGGTTTGTCAGGCATGAAAGTTGTTGTCTTCCGGATATGTCATGATAGCTTTCTCGATTATGCTTTCCAGTATTTTGATCAAGGTGCTGGTAAGACTAATAGGCATGTAGGACTGTCTGAATCCTCCCTTGTGGATGGGAGCGTGTTTCCAGTTGCACGGCAACACTCCATTTGAAAGATATAGCCTGAAGATCCTATTCAATGGGTCGGCTATGTGAGCTGCCAGCTCCTTGAGTGAAGGCCATTAGGTCGCATTGATTTCCCTGTAAATTTCGTAAGTAATGAGTCAGACTAATAAGAAAACTGGTGAATTTTATTCAATGTGTAACTGCCTTTCAATTAACTGTAACTTACATCTTTAAATTTCTCAGGTGCTTTTCGAAATGAGTAGTATATGCCTTTCTTGTGTTCAAATATCCCGTTAATATTGTGGTGTGACACTTAGTTAAACATGAGTTTTTCTTTGAAATTTTTATGTGAAGCGTTAAAGCACAAATAAGAAATCACTTTTGTTTTGTAAAGCAAGTAGCATAAGTCAAACATATTCAGCAAAGCCACTGAACCTGCTAAATTAAGTGACATTCAGTGACAACTAAAGACATAATAATTGTAAATTCTTATTTTGAGATACTGTTTCCACATGTCTGTGCATCAAATGATAAGAATACAGTAACAAGGTGGCAAAGGTTAAAACAAGGGTAAATGGAGTAAGTAAACAATACAGTCAGGACGAGCATTAATGTGTGGCGTACTAAAGATAATTCCGATTATTATGCTACAGTACATCCACGTTCTACTACATGCTAACGCTGTATATGGTCAACGACGAACAACGTTGTATTAAGAAGCACAAGGGAAAAATTGAAAAGATGTATTGTTAATGAAATCGAATTTTAAAAAGCGCAAGGTGAATGAAAAAGTGCATAACCGCGTAATACATATATATATATATATATATATATATATATACATTCAATAATACAATGGCAATTATTCAACAAGAATAAGTAAAATCAGCTTCTGTAAGCGTACAGCATGCACACATGAGTTAGTTTTATAAGCCTACAGTTAGGTTTAATATAGGGGTGCTACAAGTGCACCTACACCAATATGATCCCTTACAAGTCTAGGGTCTGAACTGTCGATCATTATGCTCATGTGTATCGGTTTACATATGGACCTCAATCAAACAACATGCACCTTTCTTTATCACTCTTTCTTGATGGATAGGTACTTCGTTTTGGTCTAGTCACTTCGGTTTGCTTCAAATTAATCTTCTGCCAACTTAATACATAAACAAAGGGTGATAATGACTTCGTCATGTCATGTAGAGACTTATAACTTTCTCGACTGACTTACTTTTCTTACCCAAGATTTTCCGACTAGCATAACATCTGAGCAAATAGATTTTCTTTTTGAAAGTTAAAGACTTATTTTTCACAGATTTACGCATCTTAAATGATTAAACTGACCTCTGACTTTAACTATATATATTTCTTTTTTTCTGTACTTCTTACTTATCTTTTAAGGTGTGATCCGATCATGTTTCGTTGGTTAATTCCATTTCGACGTAATTCGCGAGATGCACTCAGAGAATTAGATTCACTACAGAAATTAAGGAAGTACCCAATACTTCTTGGTTGTTTATCTTCCGGAATTTTATATCATAATTACGTATCTCAAAGTCGACCTAGTAGTATCACCTTAATTGAAAATAAGCATATACAAAAGGCAACTGTACATCCCATTTTTGAAGACCTTATCCTCTTATTCAGTGATGATAAAAACTACGCGTCTAATAAACCTCCTAATGAAGCAAAAATGGATCGATTAGTGAAGTTAAATCAAGAAATAGAGGATGAATTGCCACTTTTCTTTGAAAAAGGCTTTTTCGATGAAGTCCCAAAAAATTTACTTGATCCTGATACTGTTGTGTATTATCAGAGAAAAAATGGTTCAGTCCATCAACTAAAGTAAGTATACTGCTTCTTCATGTTTACTAGTTTTAGTTTAAGGAAGAGGATTTTATATTTTTGCCTTTGGAGCATGTTATCTAATGTTTCATTGTTTTCAGTGATTTTTGTCATATGTCTCCTGTGTGTGTTGAAAAGTATACAGCTTACTACTGAGTTAAAATAACAGAATTTAGATTGAAGGGACAATTCATTCGTGTTCTGAGGTTACAGTACTTTTATTTTATTATTTATTTATTTATTATAGCTTGATTCCACACCGTATTTTTGGTACAAGTATGGAATTTTCAGCATGTGATATCGGTAGCCCAATTTTGCAGGCCGATCATAGATATCGGGTGTGCGCCGGCAGGGGACCGAACCCCGGACCATGTGCATGGTCGGCGAGATTCCTAACCACTGTGCCACCGACGCACACTTGAGATGATCGGGATATACATTAGGAATAACCAGCGTCTTACGGTAAATGTAGGAGAATGAAGGCGGCTATTCAGTGTTGAGAAGTACGATTTTCAGTTAGTCATGATAGTTAATTTTTTCACAATATTAAAGATACTGCTTTGTCACATACATCTAGGTTCGTAAGGATTCCCGACCTGGCCTCATAGCTTGGCTTTCAAATATTGGATTTATAGGCATTTGATAGATTTTTTGGTGACTTGTAATGAAAGGACATTAGTGATGATGGTGAATATTAACTAACGACTGATGAATATTAACCAGGGAGCATGGGATAGTCATTTCGTTCTAGCTTGAGACCTTCCAGTAAGCATACTCAGGATCTTCAGATTACGAGATTTGAGATTATTTCAAACAGTGATATCTTCTTTTTTTTCTGTTTTTTAAAATGTAGTAAATTTTTTTCTCTGGGGGTTGATTCATATTTTTTTCGGTCATCTTCCTTTTTTATTCCTCCCTAGTTTTATAATTTGTTGCGACTTTTATGCTAATGATAGCTCAGTCGCAACCCTTTATCTGATTATTCAGAATAAAGCGACCATATCACAAACTTATTTCACTTTACTTACCACTAATTTTTAAGGTAAGTAAATGGTGAATATCAACTGCTTTTCCTCACAGTTTTAGAAACTTTTTCCCACAAACAGTCATTATTTTCAGATGGTGTTTGAATAGCTCAACCAAATGTTAAACATTCATAGATAAGGATCAATTAAAGATCTGTTCACTTTCATCATCCAAGTTTTGAGTAACCTGTTGGTTTTTATTTATGTATTTATTATCTTTCGTCTCATCTTCTGGTTCACTTTACTGTCAGTCATTTCGTCGATTTCCTCTTTTTGTGCAAAGTGTAATGTGTACAACTTGAAGCAACTTATATTTCATACATTCAGTTCCGTTGATGAATTTTGGTTGAACAGAGAGAGATCAAATCTGAAAGACGAAAACAACATTTTATTTCACTGGTTTTCATTAGTTACACACTGTCTGAGATTATAGTGGTTGTAAAAAATGGGAAAAGATTTGAATGCTAACGTGGTAGCAGTTAAGAAATCCCAAATCCCAGAATATTGAAAAAAGGTGGACATCGCAATTTCTAGCCCTGGTCATCATCACTATGTGAATTACAAAGTTGAAATCGCAGAAGATGTAAAAAGGAGGAGAGGGTAAAGTAAAAGAAAAATAGGAGAAGCAACGTTATTATTAACCTGTATAGTTACGTGAAACCAGGCCTCTGTGTACAAAATGAGATGGTCGTGACTCTGAAACTACCATGGTAATACGTTTTACTTACTGTTCTACTTCTTCTTCTTATTATTATTATCATTATTATTATGATTATTATTGATTCATTTAAAACTATCTTTCATCAGTAGCATTATCTTAACTCACTTCAAAATTATTATTATTATTATTATTATTATAACTATTACAACTGATATTACTCTGTTTGCAATTCTTGTTATATTCTCTAATGACTAATTGTTTATCTAAGCGATGTAATTGAAGCGTAATGCATTTTATCTTAATTTTAATCTCATACTCCCTCTCCCCTTATCTATTTGAACATGACCTGGAAAACATTCGCACCTGTCTATCTGCATGACTAATTCAGTGTAGTTTATTTACTTATCAGTCTTACATCTCCCAATGTAATTTCATAAGTATATATATATCCGTGTATGTAGAGTATTCAGCTGACGAATTCTACCGAAATTTGATGAATTCATTAAATCCTGCTTTATTAACCCTTATTGCTTGTTTTAAAACCTGAGGAATTGTACTCTGCAAGTTTAAAATCAGCTTTTTGAGATGAAATCAGTAAAATGATGGAATGTACAATTAACTCTATGAAGATAAAATAAAATGATATAGCTGACATGACATAACACCGGAATTTTGCACTCTGCAGGAAACTGTCGTTAATATTGCACTAACATGATTAAAAAATTGTTTTCATTTTCTTATCTAAATGATGTTTAGTTTTGACAAAGTGATTCCATATCCTTTTTCGTCTTTATGTTTACTTTTAACCTAACATTTTGAGCACTATTCAACCAGAGTATCTGAATTTTACGTAACATGTGTTGCCAATTTTAACGTCTGAATTATTTTCAACTTCCGTTCTTAACTCTAGAATTAAGTTGTAATTTTTTTATATATGTTGAGAAGCTAACACAATTTATCACTTCCATTCCGCCATTCACTTATACATTATTGATGGCCTTGACATCCGTGCTAAATAATTAGAACACATGAATATTTTGAGCATTGATATTGCAGTTGTTTTTAAGTTGTATGCGATTGACAAGGATCAAAGAAACAAAATGATACCATATTACATTGCTCAATTTGTCCCTCTCTTCAAGTTCATCAAGGGAAAACATTCTACTAAGGGAGTCAGGGATTCGTCACAATCCCAGTGGAAAACGTCTTATTTCAGCTATTTACGCAAAGTGTTGTGATCCAGGTATCCGGAGGTCATTATTTTAGAGGATTTAGACATGTCAATAAAATATCCAACATGTACATGGTGTCTGGTGATTACGGAGTACGGAAATTTGCTCCAGTTTGAGCATGGTGTCAGTAGTCTCTGTCAAATTACTCAATGCATGAAAACATATTGCATATTGAATCAAAGGAATATAACTGTTATTAGAGAATCAATTCCAATAATAATGAATAGTAGTGTGTAGCAAAAGAATATTAGTAATATTTGATTTAACCAGTTGTGGTACTTCTTTCTGAAAAAGACGGTGAACATTTTCCTTTAGTGAGTTCACTTTATTCTGAGTCTCGTAGATGTGCTTAGCACTAAGCTTATCAGCCTACTTTGTGTTGCTATTTTACGTTAAGCGCTGTTTGTCAAGAATATTCAATTTTTATTTTACTAAGATTCCTGATACTGATTTGAAAAATGCTTCCTAATTTCATAGTTCTATCTCTACACCAGTGAGACTTCAATATACCTAAGACTCACAGCCAGATTCGTTTGGGCTCTTCATGTAGTTTGTTTGGGATAAGTTTCCCATCCTTTAGAAGTAAGTAACTACTTTAGGCACCAGTCGATAAAGTCACAACAGTTAGTTTAAGCCAGCCAGCCAGCCACGTAGGAAGGTGTAGACTCCCTGACTGACTGGTTGGGGTCCTCGGGACAATTGGTGATATATCTCAAAATCGTTGTCAATGGCGCGGATGCATCCACTCCTTGTGACTTATAATATCCAAAAAACTACATAGTTCTTTCATATTACTATTCTTTTTGTCTCATATCTCTGTTTACTGTCTCTATTTTGCATTCCTTTTTACTTTCTTCTCTTGCTTTGTATGCTACATGTAGTGTGGCGACTTGAACTGCTGCACATCGGTGCACAGCTCTATGTTGGAAACTTACAAACAGATTAGGCTTGTTCTGTACCTAGTATTCATTTGTTAAGAAGAAGAGAAATGAGAAAGTGTAATGACGGAGTAACCAATAAGAATGTTAGTTAGAATGACCTAGATGTTAGTTCTAAATGTGTCCATGGAAAGTTAACTAATAAGTTTATGAACCTTTCTTATAACAACTAATTTTTCTATACTTGTGTTTAAATTTTAACCTTATTGCTAAGTGCCACCAATTGGTTGGACCTGGAAAAATACAGAACAAACGTGCTTATGAGGTAGGTGGTCATGATTCATTCACTGAACCCACCGAGGTACCGGTTGGTTTGAAAGGAAATACTTCATATCATAATAGTGCCAATAGCAAATCATTCCCGTTTGTAAAAAAAAAACCCACATGCAAATCATTTTGGTTAAAATAGGCTTTCAGTTTTTGAGGTCTACAGTCATACATTGTCCGACTGGATTTCGGGGGGCAATAAAATCAGGATGAATATGTTAGTTCATAAGTGAGTTGACTAGCTGACATTGTACACAGCTTGTTCTTAATGCCAAAACACGTGATTTTTATTGATAGAAATTGTCAACTACGATGAATAACTAGTCCGACTGTCTATCAATGAAATTTCAATTCAGTTCTGTTAATTTTGTGGTCAACTATCGGACTATCATGTGATATGTTTAATTACTTTCATTTAAATGGTCAGAGCACAGGTCTATCCTTATGTCTTTGTTCTTCTCTCCGTATATTTATAAACAACCCAGATTAGAAATTTCATCACACTCATTCTACTGCTTCTTTGTTGTAAAGATTACTTGTTTTGTATGCATTGCAATTGTACTGTTGCAGTACATTTGCACTTTATCTCTACCTTAGCTCAAACTAATTTGTCAATAATATCTGTGATGAATAGGTAATCTGTAGGTAGATTAAACGATAACTATGCTCTTCTGAAAAATGTTTGATTTTAGAAGAAAAATACAGTGAAATACAGTTAAATGACGAAAACATTAGATTTTTAAGGTACAATCAAATCGGTTTTATCACTTTTCTGTCTCTTTTCTTCCTTCTTCTTTTCCAATCATGGTAAATATGAATACCTTTCAAGGTGAAGTTAGACTATCATAGCCAAAAGTCCAAGGTCTGTTAGAAGTTGGCCTTCAAAAATCAATCAGACTTTGGGAACGCTACGAAAGATCATTCCAAAGCAAACCATAGGGTAGTTACTATATTCTACTTATTCCCTAGGTACTGTTTTCTGTAAATCTATACTGCTGGGTAGGGTTACGGTTAGGGGTAGGTTAAAGAACAATGTCAGGAATACCATTGGATTTCAAATTACAGTGGTCTCCAGCCGCCTGGATGAATATACCTATTGCGCATGGTATGATTTCTTTATGGATTAATAATGATAATAAATAGCTTTATTCCAAACAGTACGTTTGGTACAAATATAGAATTTTCAGCATGTAATACAATTGTCCTTGAAGTAACTGGGAGACATTCTTACAATACATTATCCAGTGTAATATATCGTGTTTGCAATGTTTTTAATACTTTTTTTTAACGATTTTGTGCACCTGAATTCTGATTGGTTGTTCAAGGTCACTGTGATTTTGGCTGTGATAGTTTAACTTTGGCTATTTTTTCAGTTGCCTGGTTGTTAAAAGAAAGCGTAATTAGCAGAATGTTTTCTAGGACGTTGTTATAGCTTCGCATATCATCATGTTGATGCACATTCGATCTGACTGCAATGGCCCACGCATAAATCTTACCGGTTCTTAACGTTTTTCAATGTACCCAAACGTTAAGATTTGTTAATACGTACAATGTAAAATCAGCAGTCACTTTTGAAGTTTAATACTAATACTACTCATAATAATGATAGCCTTATTCTGAAAAATGCTTTTGTACACAATACAGAATTTTCAGCAAGTTTCTTATCACAAGACATTTACTCCTTGTACAGAATCTTCAATTAATATTATAGACGATAATGTATCAACTGAAGGGATATGGTTTTATCCGACGCATTATCCAATAATCCACAATGTTTCTCCTTCATTCCTGTCAGAAAATTCCTGCCAATAGATTGAGACCTATTTGAAAATAGGCCTCGGTGTACATTGGGATTCTTAGACGTAATTGTATGGTTGAAACTGTCTGTCTGTCTGTTTTCGACATAGAACTTTGCACATATGTGAGGCAGTTCAAGTCGCCACACTCCCTTCATGTAGCACACAAAGCAAGAGAAGAAAGTAGGAGAAATGCATATTAGAGACAGTAAACAGAGGTGTGAGACAAAGGAATAGTAATAACGAAGAACAAAACAGTTTCATTGGAAATCATAAGTCACAAGGAGTGGATGCATCTGGGCCAGCCATTGAGAACGATTTTGAGCCATGTCACCAATTGTTTCCAACCATTGGTTTTTACCGTCATCCCGAGGACCCCAACCAGGAAGTCTACACCTTCCTACGTGGCTTAGACTAACTGTTGTAGATTTCATTGACTGGTGCCATGTTTTGGTTTGACCGCCGCTACTAGCTCTTTTCCAGCCTGACCCTATATCAGCTAACATTGCCCATTGTCGAGGAAGGCGATGACTAGGCATACGTAACACATGTCCTAACCATCTCAGTCGATGTAATTTCACAGCCTCGTCGATTGATTTCTCCTCCTTACCTAGCACTCGATGCCTAACCTCAATATTGCTCACCTTATTATACCACTTCACACGGGAGATAGAACTCAGACACCTATGGTCGAAGACAGCTAATCTTTTCATGGCTTCCGATGATTAAAACTAAATGAAGCAGAGTAAACACAATGCGTTTAAGTGAGTATAAAATTTAGGTAACCTAGTGATATTTAAGCAAGCCACCAATAGGTTTCATCACAGGTGTTGAATTCAAAACTGCAATCACCACAATTGATATATGTAACCAACCAATCCACATTTAGGCAAAACAGACGTCCAACTACAGATTGGGAGTTAATTACAGAACTAAAATTGGATGGAGTTCAAGAAAAATTCTTGTTACTTAATTACTAATATATTTGCTTGTTAATCTAATTGTATACTTGATCAGTCATAATGTGGTGAGAGCTAGCCGCAAGCCGAAACCTGTAGACAACAATTAACGTCAATGTTACGTCCCGAATCGGGGTCATGAGAAAAAACGCAATAACAAAGCTTAACCTTGAGGGACTCACCAACCAATCACAGCGGACTTAACGTGTGCAAATACGATTCACAGATATATGGCCTGACTTTCTAAGAAACGGCCATAAGCAGTAAAGAATAACCTTGAGCAAAAAACAACCAATCAGAAGACGTTGCTTCTCTGCTAACAATAACGCTAATAATAATGTACATAAAAATCTATAAATATCTGTTGATTTTCTCAATAAACGATCTGTTGTCTGGCCTTTATCTTCTGTAGTTACAATAATGCTATTTTGTTTCTAAGCAAATAGTCCACTATTTTATTCTCCATTAATTATTCATACTAAGAGTTGTTGATGCTGGATTTTGGTGTTTATAATTCTATTATTATTATTCAGTCATTTTCACAAACCATTATGTTGTCTATCTTGAAGCAATTTTGAACTCACTTGATTGTTTATTATGTGAAAACTTCTTCATGTGAACAAAATTTCTTTACCCCGTTATGTGATAGTCATAAAAAGTTCGTAAATTCAGGTATTTTAAATTCTCTAAGGTTGATTTCTTGTTTTCTTTATTTATCATCACAGAGGAAGATCATGGATTCGTACTCTAGTGGTAGCTAGTCGAGCCTATTTTTCTGCACGTTCCTATGATCGTCGACTTGAACTAACCAGTATCCTGTCTGATACAGAGAAATGGGAAGTTGAAGTTTGTTTTCGTATAGTCCTTTTACCTGCTCCGTCTAAAGAAGAATCTAGTCTACCGCCAGAGAAATTAATCGAAAGATTAGAACAACGGGCTCAGTAAGTTATCTCAGTGTGTGAAAGTTGTTTTTTTCTCAGTCTTTTACTTTCTAAGTGGAACGAACATGGGACTTCAATCCTTGAAGTTTCAGTAACGGTGATGTTTTATGTATGGGGGTAGAACTGCTAACCGCACGCTTAACCTTTCCACTTTTCCGGGCTTACTGCCGGTTAGAAAACCAGGTGAGGATTAGGAGTGTACGTCAATGGGGAACCGAATCCGCCCGATTGTACCACTGAATCATCGACGCCGCTTTAAAGTCATTTGATAATATTGACAGATAAAGGAAAATGTCTTAAATATGCCTCTACTGGGGAAACTAAAAGACACTGTCGGAGTGAAACGATTCGGCCCAAAATGATACTCTGTTGTATAAACCATTGTGACCACTTTCTCATCCTGTAGAAAAGTTCACAGGAACATTTTCTTGATGCATTTATCTATAAAAACTTCAACCTTTGAGCGAATTCTGCTTATCCAAATGGTGTGATCGTTTATAAAAATTAACTATTTTTTATTCTGTACTAATCTATTGTAAATTAGCTTTTTATAAGTGGAATTTAATCGTTTTTATTTTCATTCATGCCAGCCATACGAACCATTTCAACATTGTTTAGTCTATTCAACCATAAGTGAGATTAGTGTTCAGATATGCTTCACAGTAACAGTTGCGTGTTACTGACCGTTAAATTTTGACAGGGGAACATACCGATCGTTGAATGATGTTTTAAGTTTTTCAATTCTAATCCAGTGGGTGAGAAGTTATGAAATTAGGACAAAACGTTTATTCAGTTCATTCTGACTGGTCATAATTATCTTAGTCCTATTCATAAAGTTTGCATCATGAAGTGACAGCTGTTTAAGAACCACTGGAAATCAACGGAAATTGAACATTTGTTTCTCTTTTCAACTTCAACGATTTTCATGATGGAATCTAACCCAAATTCAATGAAATCTTTTAACACTTAACTTTTGAATATCTACAATAATTTAGTTTTACATTTAATGTGGAGGTTGTGACTCATGGGCTGAAGGACTCAGTTTTTAGTTGATGGGTCACGGGTTCTAGTCCCACTCCTGCTGGGTAGTACCATCATTAGCCGTCCCACGATAAGCGTGGCTTTTAGCCTGGTACATGAAGAATCTGTCCCAAGTAATCGATCTTAAACAAACTGACATTTCATCTGAGTAATATGTGAACATTTGCTTCTCTTCTTCTCCCCCCCTCTTATGATATTCTTTCTTGCCTTCATTTTTATTTTGTAGATGGCATAATTTTAGAGCTACCTTTCATTTGTCAGATTCTGGTAAAATCAATGCTATTAGACTTACTCAGGTTAGTTACAAAAAAAAATTGAATATAAAGTGTTTTATATTTCATCCCAAACATATCTAGTTTCTTTTTTGATTTCATGTTTGTCTTTTGAATATATATTTTCAAACACTCACTAATTTAAAACAATTAGTCCCTTTGATAAATTTGAATAAGGCATTTAGAAGACAAATTTCGCGAGATGATATCATTTCGTAGTTTCTTTACCACCGCTTTACAACTAACATGGTTAACAATAATAAAATAAAGATCATGACAATTACTCAGTTAAATAAAAAACACAAAAGTGAATACTAATGACCAGTCATATTTAGATAGGTCATGTAGTCCAGGGCAGGCGAAGATTGAAGTCTATTGTTTTTTGTACACACAGTTTAGGCTGTATGTGATTAATCCAAACTGCTTCCATCACCTTCAATAACCTTGAATTATAGTTATGTGAAATAATTGTGAAGCAGTCATTAATATTGATTTTGTGACCTGACATTAATAAGTGTTTTGCAATGGATGATGCTGGATTTCTATTCAGATTAATCGCTTTGGGATTTTGTATATGATTTAGTAGCCATTTTGGAACATGTTCTTTTCGACGACATTGGAACATTCTGTTGGTTCTACCTATATAGGTGTCACCGCAACTGCAGGTGAACTTGTAGATACAGTTTGGAGTAGAGTCCACAGAATTTCGTCCTTTAATCATAGGTACAGGGATCGAAAATGTTCGGCAAATGAGAAAAAGAGATGCGGCGTAGAATGTGCGTTTGATGGCTGACAGAAGTCTTTGAGCTGTCAACTGCATAATTTGGTCGTCCTTGAATGGTAGGTTAATAAAGATAGCTTTCTTTGGTACAGAAGCTGTCTTTTCGAGATGTGGTTTTTCTTTACTGTGACAAGTGATAAAGTTTTCCGGATAACCATTAGCTAGTAAAACTGAATGTATATTTCGAAACTCATCCATCATTATGTCACTCGTGCATTTGTTTTTTCGGGCCCTTGAGAACAAACATTTCACTAGGGAACGTTTATACTGGATAGGAACAAAACTGGTAAAATGAAGATATTGTCCACTCCATGTCTGTTTACGAAAAATAGATCGTTGAATCGTTCCATCATCTCTCCTATCTAAATTTGATTGGTCATTAGTATGTACTTTTGTGTTTTTTATTTAACTGAGTAATTGTCATGAACTTTATTTTATTATTGTTAACCATGTTAGTTGTAAAGCGGTTGTAAAGAAACTACGAAATGACGATATCATCTCGCGAAATTTGTCTTCTTAATGCCTTATTCAAGCTCACTAATTTATCAAAATATGTGATAAAACTGGACTGATTTTCGGGGAAGCAAGAGATGTAGAACTAGTTACTGAATTAGAAAAATTATCAAAATATCCTCAATTTTAATTAACTTTCTTCAGAGTTGCTACTTTTATTTCCAAAAAAACAATATGTTTACAATTTCTGTTAAATATCTGGTTTCTTTATGATTCGAATTTTACGTAGTCTGTTGTGTTAGCACATCAAATCTATGTATCATCTGCTTGCTCAGTTTTCAAACAGTGTGCGTTAAGTTCATACCCCTACTTGGTTATCGTTTCATATGTCATATGTGGCCCGCAGTCCATTGTATTAAGAAAACCCGTAATGGATAGTTATACTGCATAATCTGAATCATCCTTCATTATAATATGAAATTCAAAAAGAGTGATGGAAGAATAATTGAATACATATTTATTGAGATCAGTCGGAAATCTCTTTTCTGTGCTACTACCTGCTTAAAGCTGTCAAGATGTTTGAGATTAGCAGACTGGGACTGCATTTTGGATGACAAGAGGAATGAATGTATTAAAGCACCATAAACTTAATCGTATTGATGCAATCAGTTCTTGTGTGTTGTGGAGCTAAACAGGAACATATCTTTGAGAAGTCATGTTCTGTTTGAACTTTTAACACTGATGAACGCTGACAATTCGAGGAATACATTTCTCTTGTCATCGAAAAACACTTCTATACTATGAAATGACTTGAAACTTGCTTGCAATGTTTATGTAGTGTTTCTGGCATGTTTTCTGTTCCATATAGGACTTAGTTGCAAGTTTTTTTGAGGAATTTATTCGTAATAAAATGAACCTTAAAATCTTTTGTCATTGTTTTGCGTTCCTAGTGGAAAAAACGGCTTCAAACTTTGAGGTTTCTGTAGCACTGGTGGTGTTTTTCCGGAGTAGGGTTACTAGCCTCAAACCCAATCTTCTCTCTTTTCTGGGCTAGCTATCGGCTGGTAAACTAGGCCAAGGTTTAGGAGTGTGTCAGCCTGGAATCGAACCCGCAATAAATGAATGGCCGACAGGCATTCTACGACTGAACTAACAATGCACTAAGAACCTTTAGGATTGCTTGTTTTTTTTACCTGTGTCTTTTGGGTAGTTCTTCGGTGTTTTATGATGTCAGTTACGCGATTGCATAATTACACAAAATCGTCATTAGAGGACTGTAACACCAGCAATTGATATAATTTATATGGCTATAAGTTTTTTTCATTTTTCTATAAAGCTATTGTAACGACAGAAGGCAAGAGTCAGGCAACAGATCATTTATTAAGGAAATCAACGCATATTTATATATTTCATGTACATTACTGTGGATATTTAAACAAACAAACACAGTCTTCCGATTGGTTGTTTCTCACGTAAAGTTAATCTTTCATCTATTTGTGACTGTTTCTTGAATGTCAAATCCTCTATATGTTAACTGCATCCGCCTACGCAAAGTCTGCTGTGGTCGGTTTGAATCAATCTTTGTTCACATTTTCTCACGATAAATCTTGGGAACGTAAATATTGACGTAAATTACTGTCTACCAATTTGGCTAGTAGACAGCTCTCACCACACTATTACTTTGTAACAACAGAAGACAAGGGCCAGGCAACAGATCGCTTATTTAGGAAATCAACACATTTATAGATTTTCATGTACATTATTATAGATTATTGTAAGCAAACAAACACAGTCTTCTGATTGATGGTATCTCGTTGAACATTAATCTTCCATCTCTTTGTGGTCGTTTCTTGAAGTTCATGTTATCTATCTGCAAATTGTATCCGCCTACGCACAGTCTGCTGTGGTTGGTTGTTGAGTCAGTCTTTGTTCTTATTTTTCTCATGACCAATATTACGGACGTACACACTGACGTAAATTACTATCTACCAATTTTGGCTAGCAGCCAGCTCTCACCATAATGTGATATCGTTGATCCTATTGTGTGCACTTGGACTATCGTTCAAAAATGTTAATTAAAATAATTTAGCTGTAAAGTTTTCAGTAGCCGGTTGATGTTTTATTTGCATTCATTCCAACTACTGTAGAGTAAACGTATTCACAATTATCAAGAAAGATACAATATCATTTCATATTTTGGCTATTATCGATAATCTGCAAATACATAACCTAAATCCTAGGCGTTTTAAGTCATTCCTACCAGTTATCTTTCGAGAATCATTTCACTTACCCTCAGTCTTTAATGTTATCCAAGATAGGATTGGGTTAGAGGAAACTCAACTGTTTCCATGTTAAACATGGTACTTGCGATAGCCTTTATCCTCACTCGTCTGTTTAACTGCTCAATTTTCAAAACAGCATGGGTTGAGTTCAAATTCCACATTGGCTATCAGATAATGTTATACCTCTTCATAATTAATTGCAAGTTTTATGGAGGAGTGACTCTTAATGAAATAAATCTAGAGGTCTGTCTGGTTTAGATATGCCAGTCTGTTAAAGATACTAAGTGATATTGCTCAAGATCGGTTGTAATCACACACACACACACACACACACACACACTATGCCTTGATCTTAATTGTATCACTATGCATCTTCTTAAGATTTATCTTTTGTCATCGTTTCTTCTGGTTTCCGACAACTTAACCACATCCTTTTTGCCTTTTTTGTTTTTCCTTGTTTCTCCAATTTGATGTGCTTGTTTATGTGTAACTTAATTAACTCCCCCAATAGATTTGCAAAATTTCCATTCTTAGGTGTTTGACAAAGTTTTAGATTTTATTGAACTCATATAATTTTTTTTGGACTATTTTTACTATACAAAACTCACTACTTTATCCTTTCAATTAGCGTTTACACTTTTTTCCAAATATTTAATATTTTTACGAGTTGATCGCGGACTGATATCAGTTAGAGAACCATTGAAAACAAGCAGAGAGTACTGGACAGCTGCTGTTTCATCCTAGTTTGGGAATCATTGGCAGTACGCACCCACCACAGGGGGTTTCAAACCCAGGACCTTCCAGTTACAAGGCTAGCGAGCTCGAATACCATTCAGCCACTGGGACCCGATTCAATGGCCAGTCCATCAATTCTAACTTCTACCAATTCGTGATTTAGCGCGACCCCAACCATTGTCGTTGGTGGTGGTGGTGGTGTGTGGATGGATGTCCCACCAACGACAATCGTTGGGGTCGTGCTAAAAATCACGAATTGGTAGAAGTTAGAATTGATGGACTGGCCATTGAATCGGGTCCCAGTGGCTGAATGGTATTCGAGCTCGCTAGCCTTGTAACTGGAAGGTCCTGGGTTTGAAACCCCCTGTGGTGGGTGCGTACTGCCAATGATTCCCAAACTAGGATGAAACAGCAGCTGTCCAGTACTCTCTGCTTGTTTTCAATGGTTCTCTAACTGATATCAGTCCGTGATCAACTCGTAAAACCATAACACACCCTTACAAACTAAACTATAGAAAATATTTAATACTGTGTATGTGTTGTTGTCTTTACTATTCTGACCTTTATTTGTAGGGTTTTTTTTGTATTACAAATTCCATTAGTTTGTTTTTATTTAAATTTTCATTATAACTGTCATTTGATATTATCATTTCTTAGTTTGTTTCCAGTATATATGCCTCTAATATTTAATAGTGAAATCATTTCAACCTTACCGCAAGGTGACACTATAAAGTAACTGTTTTGGCAAAGCATTCTCTTCAGGCCTGGCGTAATCTATTAAAATAGGATTGTCTAATCCACAGGTCCGCCTGGTGTATATATTTTTAAAATTGACATTTGATAGAACCTAGGCAGCTTACATAATGATTCTTGTACTTCATAACAGTCTTGTTTTCAATCTGTTTATATATGCTCTTAGGTTAAGTCCAGAAGTTTTTGATTTGACACTAGTAACTAGTGTGATGCGTCTAGTCCTCTCTTTGGTGCAGACTGAATTTTATCAGTCAGGTTGTAATGTGGCCACCATTCTAGGTAGCCCACCATCACGGTGTACATAGTTTGTGATGATATTAGGTGGTTGGAGGCAATCGGCAGGAAGCCTTGGACCTGGGTTTCGTGCTAGTTGGCACTCGTCAGCAAGGCGTATCTGCAACCTTGAAGGAACTCATGTCCCTTCTGAGATTCGAACCCGCGTCACCCAGTGCTGCAGTCAGAGACGTTACCACTGAGCTATTCGGGCTCGCGATTGACCTCCTGTAGGACTGACGCGGGTTCGAATCTCAGAAGGGACATGAGTTCCTTCAAGGTTGCAGATACGCCTTGCTGACGAGTGCCAACTAGCACGAAACCTAGGTCCAAGGCTTCCTGCCGATTGCCTCCAACCACCTAATATCATCACAAACTATGTACACCGTGATGGTGGGCTACCTAGAATGGTGGCCACATTACAACCTGACTGATAAAATTCAGTCTGCACCAAAGAGAGGACTAGACGCATCACACTAGTTACTAGTGTCAAATCAAAATATCCACTACAGTCCTACAGGAGGTCAATCGCGAGCCCGAATAGCTCAGTGGTAACGTCTCTGACTGCAGCACTGGGTGACGCGGGTTCGAATCTCAGAAGGGACATGAGTTCCTTCAAGGTTGCAGATACGCCTTGCTGACGAGTGCCAACTAGCACGAAACCTAGGTCCAAGGCTTCCTGCCGATTGCCTCCAAACACCTAATAAGTCCAGAAGTGTTAATCTATCTATTTTGGTTTTGTAACAGGTCTGTCAATAACATTCTTATTATCGTGAGTGAGTATTAGTTGACGGAGTTGAGTGGTTAAGCTGGGGTGGTGGCCAATTAACTTCTGTTCAAATTCCAAACTAATTATTTAACCAAATGTTCTAAAATCATTTTGCCTGTGATTGGTAGGCTCTAGTGATTTCTTTTTGATGATTATTGTTGTCTCATCACCATGGTAACTGGAGGATTAGCTGTTTCCTTTTGACTTCTTAATCTGATAGAGGTTTTCATTAAGTGTCCTCTGTGTGTGTGTGTGTGTAACTGGCAGATTTCGTTGTTTTAAGTTTGCAAATTTTAGATGTTCGATTTATGGGTAAAAGCCATATTCGTGTTGTCCATTTTTTTCTCGTTTCTTTGGTCACAGTCAACGCCTTTTTTCCCATGCCTTTTTCTTGTTCTTCATTAATACGGTTTTAATTAGTTCATGTATGTGTTATCGAGCTTTATATTTCTGTTGATCGCCACTTCCACCTTATCATCACTATGTTTCTATGAATTATGCAGCACGTTTTAGGTTTAAGAAGTTCTCGCAATCGAATTAATAATGACACCAGTTATATTATGGATGTAAGCATATCAGTTCATGTAGTAAGGTTTCACATTCACTTCCTGATCATAGACTCCTTGGTGTGTATACAGCAGTCAGAGTGTTTGATGTCGTTGGTATAATTTATTCTCTTCATGACTTTTGATTTGTCACCTCTGAATATGAAATATTTTAGTTTACTCGGTAAAGTTCAACAATAGCGTCCCCAGGGATGCGAACGCACGAGTGACCTTCAGCAGACCAATCATAAAAATAAGTGACTTTTGCACAAAAAAATGACGTCTATTTACAAGAAAATGCATGAAAACACTTTAAACAGAGTATCTTTCTCTGATATGACTTCCAATCCCAGTTATAATGAGGAGTATCAGTTTCTAAGTTAGACTAGTTTCTGTGCACATATTCACTGAGGTGACTAAAGATGAGCTGTTTTTGTGAATTGTTTATCTCTTATCTTGTTGTACTGTCCTCCCCAAAGCCCTCGTTTGAATGGTTTCCAGTAAGAGGGTCGATGACTTCTTACCAGGAAAATGTGGATAAGCAAACAAATTAAAATAAATGACATCAACTCTAAATCTATCCATAATCGTAACTCTAACCGTGAACTAATGCTAATTATGACCCTGATCCTAACTCTAATCCCAATACTTACTTTAAACCTAATCCTAACCCTAATGAGCTATTAACACATTGTTCAAACAGTACTTAAAAACGTGATCTGGGTGAAATTTGCTGCTTAGCCGGTGATGAATAGCGTTGATATTTCAGCTGTGATAATAACAGGTGCCGTTAGCCAACGACTAGCTTGCTTTCAAGGTCATTGGAGCATTCACACTCCTGGGACGCTAATTTTGAACTTTACCGTTTACTCAAGAAGTTTTGTAATAGTGTCACTGTTGCTTATGAGATATTTATTCATGCAGGCTTTTGGGCCTCTATTGTGTTGGAATAATTTGAATAGGTGATCTCCTTGTGTTTTTCCTATCTACTCATTGCGTTATAGTGCTTCTCCACATGGGCTATTTTATTTGTATTCTATTGATGGCTTCTCTTGAACGTTTCGTATTCGGTGGGTTTGTGGTGCCTTCAGGTAAACTTGGGCTTCCAAGTTTCTATTCTGTACGTGGATAACACAACAAAAAGGATCAGTAAGGCTAATTGATGGTTATTTTCTTCCTGTCTGTTGAGTTCGACTCCTGTGAGACTACATTGTCTATCCAATTGTAGACGTGTTATCATTTAAGTACTCTTATATCATAGATAAATGCAATTCAGATAAGAATAATATTAGTTTATAAAACAGTATACTAGTTAGCCTCTATTGGTTACCTTAATATTATACACCTTTTTATAAACTAAGGTCTTATTATTTATGTACTTTTTAAGTAGAGTTCCTATTTGCTGTTTAGTTATTGATTCCAAGTAATTACGGAATTTGGATACACGTGAATAACATGAGTTAAATTGTTTTGTATTTTCTATTCATTTGGCGAAAATGGTAGTGCAGATGCGTGATTTATGACTTCCATCTTACCCCTTACAATGAGATATTAAATTTACTCTATTATGTATTCGAATTTAAGGGAAATAAGGACTTATAAAATCTCATTGTGGTAAATGTGTCATGGAGTAAGTTAGAATGTTGATATTCACTTTATAGCGGCTTACTCTGATTGAAATGTCAGCTGTCGATCAAAGGACGTGAGTACTGCCCAGCAGTCCTCTCCGTCCTTTATACCTGTCAGACTTCGCCACTGAGAGTGGAAGACATGAAAAGGCTAGTTGTCTTTGATCATAGGTGCCTGAGTTCTGTCTCCCGTTTTAGGTGGTACAATAGGGTTATTAATATTGAGGT